CGGGGAAAGGGGACTCCCTTCGGCCGGCGGCGAGTGCACGTCCCGGGGCGATGGCCCTGCCCCGCGCAGTTTTCTTTTGATACTTCCACGCCTGAGTACATTGAGCCCTCGGGAGGAAGCGCGGCGACAGGGGACACTCGAAGGAGCCCAGGGCGAGCCGTTCCCATCCGACTCCCTGTTCTGGGGTATACGGTGCCGGGTGCGGGCGGCGCGGACGTGACGGGTCCCTCTCCCTCCCCGCCCGTAGGCCTACGCCGCCGTGACCGTGAAGCCCTCCAGCCCCGCGCGGCTGCTCAAGGTGGGAGCCGTGGTCCTCATTTCAGGGGCGGTGCTGCTGCTCTTCGGGGCCATCGGGGCCTTCTACTTCTGGAAGGGGAGTGACAATCACGTAAGTCCAGAGGACGGCGCGTCGGGCGCAGGCCGAGTCGGGGTGCTGACCCAAGTCGGGGTGCGCAGGGCCGGGAGGCCTGCAGGTTGGCGCTGTTCTCTGTCACCCCCAAGTTCCCCACTAGGTGGAACCAGAGCGCCGGTCGGCGAGGGCAACTCTCAGCAGCCCGCAGGCCCTGGGGCCTCAGCTTGGCTGCGCTCTAAGCGCTGTCGGGCCCCCTCTCCACCACCCTGCTTCCTGCTCTTCCGCAGCTCTGTGGAAAAGCAAGTCAGGGTCTACGGAAGAACTTGAAAAGACGGAGTAGCGGGGAATGCAGTGGCCCGTCTCGGCCTGGCCCTTCCCCCTAAGCAGTTGTGGGGGGGGAATAAAGCATGTCACCTCTCGGTCCTCCGTTTTACTCCTCCTAAAAGGAAGAAAGGAACTGCGTGAACTCCAAGGCCTCTCTCAGCTAAGAAAGGCTGTGCATTTAAGATCTGGGACAGAGTGGAGGAATATCAGACCCTTAAGTGGGGATGAATTTCCATCATCCAGGAGGTGATTTTTTTTTTTTTTACCTGTGCATTAACACTCCTTTTCTCTCTCTATCTCGAAAGAAAAAAAAAAAAAAAACTTCCTTAAGGGTGACAAATCTCTTTAAAAATCAATTCTGGCCTAGTCCGTGTGATTTAATGGTAAATGTTTCACTAACGGTTGTCCTACTTTCTTTGTATGCAACTATTTATTGTAAAGCTCCATGGGCTCCCAAGGAGTACAAAAACTGCTTCTACCTTGACTGGGCAGAGTTCCAGCGTGTTCTCTAAATACTCCAAATGTGTTCACCTATGTAAAAGGAGGCATTTTATCTTGATGACCTTTGCCAGGTCTGGTCCAAGCTTATTTCAACTAATGGAAAAGAATTCCGTCTCCAGGGTGCACACAAAGGGCTCTTTCTTAATCACTATCCTCAGAGGATCTGTGACTGCCGTTTCCCTCCCCCCTTTTTCTCCTACCATGAAATTCAAAGCATGAACAAATTCCAGTACTTAGAGAAAATGGTGCTGAAAGCAATTCAACCATTTTACCCATCACATCTTCTGCAGTCACTGCATAATTTGTATTTTTAACTCAAATGCCTGATGTAGATAAGCATGCCGTTTAGCACTGACTCTGTTTTAGAGACTATCTCGAATTTACAAGCATCAATTTATAAGATCAGAACTGCACTGTATTTTGAGTGTATTTGAAAAGTGCCTTAATGTGTTTGTATTTTAAATATAGAAGCCGAGCCAGATACTCATCTTTGGGAACAGCAAATCAGAACAAGGGAATGATTTCAAATCTACGTCTCCATTAATAGCAGGGTGTAGGTTGTCACTCGTTTGGGAAACTTTATGATATGAGAACATAAATGCTATCTTTCAGATCACAAAACCTCAATGGTACAGGTCATTTGGGCATAAAAATAGCTTTTCTTTGTTGGAAAAAAATGTCAGTCATGATATACATTAAAATGAATATAATTTGGCATTTAATTATTCAAGGCAAATAGAGCTAACTGACAAGCTCCTAAAAAGAGAGATTAAACGATCATACTGAATGAGCGGAATTCCTTTTTTTCGTATCTTTTACTTTGCTACAAGATGGTTGGCTGTCAGGTTCAAGAGAGCAGTATTAAATGTGAAGAATATAGAGGAATAGTGAATCACATTTTATTGCCAACAATCAAAGTTATTGCTCTTTCTTATACGAGCAGGAGAATGAAGGAAATCATGGTAGTTTTTTTTTTTTCCCTCCCCAATATCCATTGCTGATCCATATTACTTAAGTCTGAAAAACAAATCATAAAATACTAAATAGAGTAACGTTGGCCTCATCTCTGCATAGCACATGTACGGGTCTGCTTTCCCTGAATAACAATCTAAACAGCCCAAACAAAACATTATAAAAAAAAAAAAAGTTAAGTCTCTGTCAAACAGAAAGACATGTCAAACCAAATGGATTATCCACTCTTTGGGGATTATCTGAGCCTCAGATCCTCTATATTGGTTTATAGAAGAGAGCCAGCCCTAATTCACTTCCTATCCCTTTCATATGGGTAAATCCCCTTAGGACAGGTTCCCTCAAATTTAGTTGGAGGACTATGAAGCATCCGAGTACTGATAATCAGAGGACAACTGACTGGGCTCAAATATTGAGGCCATTTTTCATCTACATGAGTGTAAATGGAACAAGGCATTGAAATATGGGAAACTCCCACCAATGGGAGATAACTGACAATCCCACCTGTGGGACAGAGGGAGGGGATCATGGCTTAGGGCCTTTCTTCTTGGACTAATTTTTCTAGACATTTTCCCAAACATTATGTAATTAATCTTATAGAACCTAGGCTTATTAGAAACTCATTAGCAAATATCCTTGGCTGTAAAAGGCACCATATTGAGCAGAATTTTGGCAAATAATAAACTTCATTGTACTTGGATAGATACAGCCTTAGGTGCCAACAGCTCCACAGGCTTAGAGCGGATAATATAATTGCTCCAGCAGCCCAGGCTCCCCCACAGCTCAGAGCCCAGTACTTGGGAAACTGCAGAGGGCTCCTGCCTCCTCCTTCCCTCACCTCTCCCCTCCTATCCCTGCAAGGGGCACCAGCTTCTTACACTGCCCCCATGCAGACCAGCCCTAATTCATCTAGCCCTCTCCTATGGGTAAAAGCCCTGGTATGTGCCCTCTGTACAGAGGGGGGACGCTGCATTACAAAGGATGCGCTACCTAGTTAGAGAGGCTGTGTTGGGGGGAGCTGGCAAAGGGGTGGTTTTGGAGGAAAATGAAATGAAGCCCACAGGCTAAAACAATAGCCACTCTTCTGGTGTTATAATCCCAACTCCTTGAGAATGGGTAAGAGGGAGCCAGATGGTGGTGCATGGATAAAACACAAGACCCCATGAGGCAATCCACATGGCAAGATTTCTGGTTCAAGTCTAGAGATCTCCCTGAGTACTCTGGGCATGCACTTGCCCACAGTCCAGGGTTGAAGGCTGGGCATCAGGAGCCTATTGGGGATGCTGCCTGTTTCTTTTGTTTTTGTTTGTTTGTTTCCTTATTTGCTGCAGGGTATATGCTCTTGCCAGAGAAAGACAGAGAGGAAGTGAGAAATTATCCTCCAGCGAAAATGGTCATATTGCAATCCATTTTCCTCCATTCTCCTTTCAGGACTTTGTGCACACTCACATACACACCTGGTATGTTTTTCAAGCCACTGGGTCCAGGACTTGAACCCTCAATCAGCTTTGTGGAAACCAGCCACCTTAACCACTAGGCAACCTGGCTAGCCCAGAATTTTGTCTTTCTCTGTCTTTCTCATTTACTCATGGAAGAAAAAAATAATACACTTAAAATTAAAAAAAAAAAAAAAAAAACAAGGACCAGCAGACAGCGTAATGGTTGTGTCATTGGACTCCCACATAGTCAACCACAGTTCAAGTCCCAGATCCAGTGACTTGAAACTCATGCCAGGCACATGTGTGTGCATGCCCAAGATGAGAGTGAGAGGAGAGTGGTGAAGAAGGGATTGCAGCATGGCCATACCCCCTGGTGGTTGATTTCCTCTCTTCCTGTCTCTCTGTTTCTCTCTGTCTCTCTGGTGAGCACATGTGCCCTATAGCGAAAACCTCTCTTTGAAAAAAAAATGGCTAAGAACGTGGGAATAGTTACATTCTTAAATATGGCATTACTTTGCTAGTAAAATCTTTCATGCAAAGTTTAAACAACAGTTCTTGCGCATGATTGGCGGCCACTGGAGTCAGCAGGAGCGCACATGGTGTTGCCTGCCAGGCTCCTTTTGACCATCGTCATTCACGCAGGTGAACAGTGGCTGCTCAGAGCGCACCCAATAGAACAGAGCCTCTTTCTGCACCTTCCCTGCAGAATGCACTGGCTGGGCCAAAGAAAACAGGTTTCCCAAACTTAGCTGACCACGAGGACCACCTGAGGGGCCAAGTGAAAACAGATTGGCCAACTCTGCTCCAGCTCAGCTAAAGCACTGCCCCTAGAAGTGGTTCTGCTCAGGCAAGTTTGGGAGACAGTGAACTGCTGGCGTCTGAGTTCCTTAGTAGAAGGGCAGGCGGGGCAGTGAGAGATGGTGGTGCCTGAAGCAGATGCCCGTATTTTCTGTCCCACTGATGGAATGCTGTTGCCTGAACGGGTGTTGGATAGCAAAGCTATCCCCACATCTCTGCTGATAAAATAAAATAGAGCTCTGTAGGTCTTGTAATAATGAGTTTTCTGCAAGTAATGATCCAGTAACAACAGATACGTTTTCTGCAGTGTTTGTCCATGTACCAGTCACTCTTCATAATGAGGGAGAAAAATCAGACTTGAGTTGAACCTGAGCTACTCAGTTATGACTGGCTGACCTGACATTAAGTAGCAACTGTCTTTCATCAGTTCTCATTCTTTCCCCTCTATAGACTTATGTGTATGCATATATATAATTCATATATTACATGTAATGTTGACGGATATAGGTATATATCTGAGTTCAAAAAAGAAAGGAAAAAAAACCCATCTGCTAGCCTCACCACACACAGAAAGCCCTAGCAGGGCAGCAGCACACAGCAGAAGCCACATGTGAACTATTTTTAATGAAAGAAAGAGGGAGAAATATCCTTGACAGGGTCTTACCATGTCTCGATCTCCTGCCCCAGCCTCCCAGCTAGCTTGGATTACAAGCATGAACTTCTGTTCAGTTTGATCTGGGAACCAAACTCAGGCCAACCTGTGGCTTCAGCCTCAAGAAGGGGCACTCTACTGTCTGCATCCCTGCAGCTGCACCCAGGTGTGAATTGTGTTTAAACCATAGCAATAATAAGATATCAAAGCTAAGAAAGCCCTTTGGATCTTCTGTTGGTGGCAAACTTTTAAACATTTTTGAATTGGTAGAATTTTTTTAACCAAACCTTACTCAGACATGCTACATGTAAAACAGATGAAAAGCAGAGTTGCTCTGGTTAGACTGTGGATAGACAATGGAGAAAGGAGCCTCACAGTTCTGCCTGCTCTACTCTCCTCTGGGGCAGGTTCATGAAACTTCCCAGATCTAAGGACATAGATGGAAACCACCCTTAAGGCCCAACTATTCCATTCTACACTTGATGCAGCTCCCAAGACTTGGGGGTAAGTGGTATGGCCACTTATTTTCCTGATTCCCAGACCAGTACTGTGCAATGCCAAGACCTGTCCCCTCCTACACACTCCACACAGCTCATTATAACAAAATGCCCTACAGCACCACATGCCTGCCCCTAGGTCCATGAAGCTTGCATTTCGAGCTGTGTGTATTGACCTTGCTCTCTACAGTGCTGCTCTACATGGGGTATAGCCTAGTCCTGTCTGCAGTCTTCACTGTATACCACACTCCGTGCCTAATCTTGACCAAAGGAAAATAAAGCAATGCCCCCCACAACCCCGTAAACTGAAATGCCACTGCAGACTTGTTTGGCTGGGAGCTCAGTTAACCCTTGCCACCATAATTGCCATTTATTTGCCAGTGATTCTCAACAAAACTGCATATAGACTCATTTAAAAAAAAAAAAAAAAAAGCCACGCAGGGACCAGCAGTTAGCATAATGGCTATGTCACTGAACTCCCATGTAGCTGAACATGGTTCGAGTCCCAGACCCAGTGGCTTAAACTCATGCCAGGCGCATGTGCATGCGTGCCCAAGATCCCAAGAGGAGAATGGAGAAGAAGGGATTACGGCGTAACCATCCCCTGGGGGGTGATTTCTCACTCTCTGTCTTTCTGGAGAGCGCACGCACCCTATGGCAAAAACCTCTAAAAAAAAAAAAAAAAAAGAAA